TCGTGCCGGATTATTGGGAAAATGTGAGAGTTAACGAAGAAGCGTGAGCACGGAAATGTTACTCTCCAGCCTGTGTTCACATTCCACCGGTTTGTCGGTGGGAAGCTTCAGTGCCTTGCAAGTGTTTCCGATTTTCTGTATTTCCTATTAAAATATGTTATTCTCGAAACTTGATGGAACATGCGTACTCACTGAGAGTCTCCTGCAAACCGCTATGGGTGCTTACTTTGTGCTACTACCTGCTTCTATGATGTTTGTGATCTCTGTTAAGACAACTCCTCAATTGATCCCATGTCCCGTCCCCCTCCTGATGACTGTCATTTTGCCCCGACTAGTAGTAGTAGTAGTAGTAGTAGTAGTAGTAGTAGTAGTAGTAGTAGTAGTAGTAGTAGTAGTAGTAGTAGTAGTAGTAGTAGTAGTAGTAGTAGTAGTAGTAGTAGTAGTAGTAGTAGTAGTAGTAGTAGTAGTAGTAGTAGTAGTAGTAGTAGTAGTAGTAGTAGTAGTAGTAGTAGTAGTAGTAGTAGTAGTAGTAGTAGTAGTAGTAGTAGTAGTAGTAGTAGTAGTAGTAGTAGTAGTAGTAGTAGTAGTAGTAGTAGTAGTAGTAGTAGTAGTAGTAGTAGTAGTAGTAGTAGTAGTAGTAGTAGTAGTAGTAGTAGTAGTAGTAGTAGTAGTAGTAGTAGTAGTAGTAGTAGTAGTAGTAGTAGTAGTAGTAGTAGTAGTAGTAGTAGTAGTAGTAGTAGTAGTAGTAGTAGTAGTAGTAGTAGTAGTAGTAGTAGTAGTAGTAGTAGTAGTAGTAGTAGTAGTAGTAGTAGTAGTAGTAGTAGTAGTAGTAGTAGTAGTAGTAGTAGTAGTAGTAGTAGTAGTAGTAGTAGTAGTAGTAGTAGTAGTAGTAGTAGTAGTAGTAGTAGTAGTAGTAGTAGTAGTAGTAGTAGTAGTAGTAGTAGTAGTAGTAGTAGTAGTAGTAGTAGTAGTAGTAGTAGTAGTAGTAGTAGTAGTAGTAGTAGTAGTAGTAGTAGTAGTAGTAGTAGTAGTAGTAGTAGTAGTAGTAGTAGTAGTAGTAGTAGTAGTAGTAGTAGTAGTAGTAGTAGTAGTAGTAGTAGTAGTAGTAGTAGTAGTAGTAGTAGTAGTAGTAGTAGTAGTAGTAGTAGTAGTAGTAGTAGTAGTAGTAGTTGTTGTTGTAGTTGTAGTAGTAGTTGTTGTAGTTGTAGTAGTAGTAGTAGTTGTTGTTGTAGTAGTAGTAGCCGGACCTAGCCATGCAACCCACTAAAAGGAGAGGTTTAACACCGTATCAACTGCGTGGCACGTTAACTGAATGTGAGTAAACCACCAGCTTTTGCGCCGCAATCTAAAAAATCAACGGAGCATATTTTTGTTATTTTGCACACGCCATTTTTAATTTTTTCGTCTTTATTCCTTAAGCATTAAGTATCCGACTCTAAGCAGTTAAACACAGATCCTGCACTGGTTTCGAGTTCGTGCCATATCCTGAATTGTTTCTAACCATCGGCACTCCACGTACTTTGGTCCCTAACCAGGCAGACGTATGAATCCGATAGTGGCAAGACGTAAAGTCAACGATTTCATTTGCTGTCGCCAGCTGGATGGGGGATCACCACTTGGTCTCTTCCAGTTAAGTCCTGCACGAGCAAACAGAGCGCGATTTTGAGAACGCTCAGCTGATATACGCGGGACATGACCGAGCCATGTTAAGTGGCACAGCAAAACCAGCTTATTGAAGAGAATACTCGCATTCTTTAAGACATGAACTCTGACTTCACTGTTGCAAATGTGTTGTTGCCACTACACACGAGCAATCCTCCCCAAGCACCCGTTGTCGAAGCCTGAGAGCCGGCGCATATCGTCTACGCGAACTGGCCATGACTCGCTTTCACGGAGCAACACCGCCCGAACGGTGGCATTGTAACGCGACTCTACCACGAGGGAGATATCCCGGCGACGCTATAAGTGCTGCAGGTTGACAAACGCCGACCGACCTTTGGCGATGCGAAGAGAAACTTCCCCTCTAGTTATACCACCAACAAACACACAACTGCCATGGTAGACAAAGCTATCCACTTGATCAAGCTGTGTGTCTTCAATATTGACCACGGGAACACTTGAGTCCTAATCCTGATGCAGCGCTTTGCACTTAGACAGGCAAAGCACATTGCGTATCTAGATGCCTCGATCGCCAAACGGTCTAGAATGATTTTTATGCTCTGTGAGTCGTCACGAAGTAACACGATCTCATCGACATAATCTAAGTTCGTCGCTCGCTTACCCGGTAGTACCCGTTGATCAACATTTTGGCAATCCTCTAGAGCTCTCGACATGATGTCTTCAATCGCAAAATTGAAGAGGAACGAGGACATAGGCCAGCCTTGTCGTACACCGCTATTGACAATGAAGGATGACAAAAGCCTGTCATAGACCCTCACTCTGGCGTAGTTGTGGAGGTACAGCGCGCGTAGGATGACAGTGGAATTTATGGGGCCCGTTCTTTAGCAAACAACGCCATAGCGCAAAGCGACCAACCGAGTCGAATGCAGCACGAATGTCTAGGGATGCGACAATAATAGGCCTCTGGTAAAGGTAGCGATGTTCCGGGATTTGGTGAAGCGTAAATATTTGATCTATATACCCGCGGCCAGGTCGGAAGCCAGCTTGTTCTTCGCGGTACTGCGATTCACGAATAGGAGATAGTCTGCAGAGTAGAATGGATGCCAATAGGAAGCAACCGAAATGATACTAATCCTCCGGTGATTGGTACACGAAGTGCGAGCATCCTTCTTAAAAACCGGGACAATAACTGACTCGCCGCAGGAAGTAGGCATCCTTTCTTCATGGCATATTTTGGAGAACAATGGGGTTAGCTGGCTAATGATAACAGCCTCCATATTTGAAAAGCTCTGGAGGAAGACCGTCTGAGCCGGAAGGCTTGATTCGTTTCAAGTGTCGAATCGCAAGACAAACTTCCCCTTCGTTGGGTGAATCAGGGCTGGCAGCCGTGTTTGCAGTATATGTAAGTGGACGGTGAGGGCCAATTGAACTGGGAATGAAAATGTTCGGCCCATCGGTCCAAGCGTCTCTGTAAGTTGGCAATCGGCGAACCATCCGCTTCGCATATAGTCTCACTGACACCAGGCTTTCTGTGGCCAGTGGATCGAATGAGCTGGAAGAGCTTGCGAGTATTGCCAGAGAGGGCAGCGGCCTCCATTTCCGAAGCACGCTGGGACCACCAGGCTTCACGGTCACTGCGTAGGCTTTGTTTGAGCTGCCGACTGACAGAACGGCGCACTTCATCATGATTAGACTCCGCTGGGATATTCCTGCGGCGGTCAAATAAATCCAAAGAGCGCGTGGAGATCCAGGCCTTCATAGGGTGCTGAGTAAGACCACAGACTTGCTGTCCGGAAGAGATCATGGTCCTCTGCATGCACGTCCAGTGTTCATCAATATCTTGCGGTGGGTCGCAGCCGAGTGCACCAGCCAGGGAAGCTTGATAACTCTGCTGAACCGAAACAGTAGATAGTTTATTTGTGTCTATCTTACAGCGCTTCATTTTCGGGGACCCTCCGAAACTCATGCAGATGTTCGCACAGACAAGAGCATGGTCTGAGTCAAGAAAAGTGTACCAAATGAATCTGCAATCCTTTCTACTACCCCTCCCTCTGAAACTGATTGCGATATGATCAATCTGAGACTATGATTGCGACGCAGTAGGGGGTCGCCAACTAGCGGAATCTCTCCTCGAATGTCGTACGCTGGTGCTCGAGAGGAAAAGATGATTATCTTCGCACAGTGGGAGAAGTCTCTCCCTCGAGCACAGTGACCACCGAGGTGACTTTCGCATACCAGCAAACGACCTACCAGTGCGTTGAGATCCCCAGAAAGGACAACCATGTCGAATTTACAACCTCTTTTCAAGAGCTGATGAAGTTCACGGTAGAAGTCGTCCTTGACGGCGTCGGAACTGCAGTCATTTGGAACGTAAGCTGAAATCATAAACAAGCTGCGTCTCTCCTCACGACATCGGTTTCTCTTGCAAGATCCTCGAAGCCTAACTGCACACAGTCGGCTATGACTCGGGCACCACTCCAGCAGTTATGCCTCGGCTTTGCTACTTAGCGCTACACCAACGCCAGCCAAGCCTGCGGCAGCTGCTTCTGCTTCACGAGATAGACGTAGGGGAAATACGGCTCCGTGGTCGGTGGGAGATCTCAACTCAATCACAGTACTGGGATCCTGTAAGCGCGTTTCGGAAAGACAGCAAACATCAATGGCGAGGGATTCCAGAGTGCGCGCAAGACCAGATTGCTGCCCGATCTGCATGATTGTACGTACATTGAAGCGTGCCAGACGGAACGAAAACCGAGGTCGTGTGAGTGAGACACGGCGAGCTCTCTGGGTGTCGACGAAACCATCCGGAGTAGAATCATGGAAACCAGAATCATTTGGTAACGGATAATACTGATTGATAACAAAGGAACGCCACGAAACTGAGTGACTAGCAGGAGCAAAAGCAGCTGAGAGCGATATTGCATTTGAACAGTTCATGATTTTGTCAGTGGGCATGATACTACCCGGTTGTCCAAGCAGAAGTAGGGAGTTGTTTTAGGGGACTCCACCCCGAGCCTTTGGCTAACTAGTCGGCGCGTAAGACAGCGGGGCGATTGTAAGACTGAGTTAGTCTGACCCCTAACCATTGACCTGTCTGGTATGAGTGGCTCTGGTGGCATTTGAAAATGCCACCCAGCGTAACTCAATGACTCACAGGGGTACAAAGCCATCGCACCACGTTAAGGTCCATCGTTGTTGCGATGGTTAAGGTCCAGTTACTTTTTCTGCCCACTTCTTTGTTTTTTTATTTATTTATTAGCTTATTCAACCTTTTTATGTGAGGACCGCTGTTTGCGCACTAGTGATTGCGCAGCGAATTTTCTCCAAGCTTCGATGCACACTCACTAAAAGGCGTTCATGGTTTTGCTTTACAATTGTAGCTCCATCCAAGGAGCTACTCAGCCATCGACAATTGACGCAGACTCAGCGGATCTCACCGCACTGGATCATTGGCCCGTTTGGTTCCGAGCGCTACTCAAATTACTTGATCAACAACCAATCAACAAGTGAGTATCATCTCGAACCGTATCATATCCACATTGAGCTTTGCGGAAGTTGGCATAAAAGCGAAAATTAGTATCACAGATTGTTCTGGTGACAGTCACACAGTCCACTGAGCTTGGCAAGTTTTTTTGCCATCGTTTCTTTACCAAGCCTGACTAGGCTGAAGCTGATCAAGCTCAACCTGTCATGGACTCTCCCGTATGCATATATATATATATATATATATATATATATATATATATATTGCATGCATCCTCACCGCAGTTTGGCTACAACTACTTACACTTAAACTAAATTTTCTTAATATGGATAAAAGTATTCCGTTTTGTTTGACTTACTCAGTTTTGTTATTCTCTTGTATATTCTGTGTCAATTTTGTGTGCATTTTCCCTCAAATTATATTTTGGTTGTTTGTTATCCCTGGTGTGGCCGCGCTTGATGCGTACGTTTACAAGGTCCCTGTCTGTCTAACACCCTCACCTCGATTACTGCTCCAGGAGATTGTGAATTGTTGTTGGGAGGTTACGGGATGCAACATCCTCGTGGCCGTGCTAGGCTCAAAGAGTGCTTCCATCCTGTATGGAGCGGACTACAGCACAGCCACCGCCTTGTGTACGTCTGGTACGCATGATTCGCTACATATATAGACAGGAATGCTGCCTCTGTGCATGTTAAATGAGTGTGTGTCGGCTCCGTTGATGAAACGTGGCTCCCATCCACATACCCCCCGTTCTTATTCATTCGGCTTTACACTGGATATGGGGTGTGTGGTTGGAGCTGTGGGTGTTGCTGCACAAGCCACCCATGGTCCCTCTGTAGACGCAAGCGCCCTGTGGTTGTCCTCGTAAAGGCAGCAGCGACGGACAAATCCGTATACGGATGCCACCAATCACATAAAATCAATCATTTATAGTGTGTCCTTATAGCCACGAATACAATCTATTCACCCTTCGGTTTTTTACATACCTGGGTTAGTCAACCTAGTTGGTTCAACTGAGAAATGTTGTAATGCGGTACCGGGAGTACTTTCAAACTCCAACTGGTGGCTATCGGTATTTCTCAGTCCGTGCTCCCGCGGAATGCGCACACTACACCTCAAGCACCTGTTGTCGAAGATTCTCGGTCTCTTTCATGTGGCAGTGGTTTTGTTTCTGATCCACGGAGCTGCATCGGCCTTCCCGCATGTTCGTATACCCTACCCCTGACTGGTAGTTTGCTATCCAACTGTTTACACAGACTGTGATCACAAAGCGCGGTGCAACGTTTTCTCTATGCTTTTTTCGGCAAAGTCGAAACGTGTACTCACGAAAGCTCGCGAATATGTCTCTATTATTATTATGCAATTATTCCTTCCTTGCCTTCGTCATACTTCCATCGCAATGAGGCTGGACCTTACCGTGGTGCGATGGTTTGCGTGCCTCAGAGATCCATTGAGCTATCTGGGTGGTGCTTGTTTTGCACCTTTAGAGCCACTCATACCAGATTGGTCAATGGTTAGAGGCCAGACAAACTCAGCCTCCTGGTCCTCCAGGTTGGGGGTTGGAATGGGGGTGGCTCCTCATTTCATAAAACGGGCTCTGTAGTCCAGTGCCAAAACCCGCTGCCTTGCGGTAAGGTTTTTGAACCAAAGGCTTTGGTTGAGAACCCTAATCGTTCTCCTGTCTAGGCCTGGGCAACCTGACAGTATTCTGCCCACGCAATACAATGAACCTTTCCTACAACAATTTCTTGATGCTCTGGCCGTCGCAGAGGATAATAAACGGCGCCCTATCTGCTGCATCGAGCAGGGTGGATAGGGGTTTGGATGCTACTGCTCAGGCCTTCCCGTCTTCTTATACCCCTTCTTGCGCTTCTGCATCCTTATTGTCCCGCTCCAACTTTACTTATATCCCCCCCATTTTCAATCCCCCAATTATTGGCCCTCCCCCAGCTTACTTCAATAGTCGCTTGTCTTCTAATTTCAAATCACACACAATCGCAGGGCCTCGCTCCAATCCAGTCGATAAGTCCATGTTCAACCAAGCGGACAACGTCAGTTCATCCGCTTCCCTTTGGAGTCCTCGTGTCTCGCTAAGATTGGCATGCCTCAACGTGCGCACTTTGCTGCAGATTGGCCAACAGGCAGCACTTGCCCGCACACTAGAGACCCTATCGATCGATATTTGCTGTTTATCAGAAACCCGCCTGCAAGATTCGAGCTCCGTGCTTACCCTGAGATCCCCCACATGCGACACTGGCGGCACATTCTCATTGCGCCTATCTGGCGATGATGCAGCTTCAAATGCCGGTCAAGCCGGCGTCGGCATTGTTTTGAGTCCCCGGGCTGAAGCTGCCCTGCTTGATTGGATCCCAGTAAACAGTAGGATGTGCGCCGTTAGATTAGCTGGTTCGTTCCGTGCTTCGAAGTCGCGCGGGGACAAACGGTGCCTGTTTGTCATTGGGGCCTACGCCCCTACAAACTGTAGCACTGATTCGGTAAAAGATGATTTCTACCAGCAACTTCACGAGCTCCTTCGTTACAGAAGAAGCACGGATACTGTGGTGCTGGCTGGCGATCTAAACGCCCAAGTCGGAAAATTGTCCTCTGATGAGCTTCATCTGGGCGGCCAACATGGTGTAGGCTCCCGTAATGATAATGGTGAGCGATTGCTCCAGCTGTGTGAAGATGCTCGCCTGTTTCTCGCGAGCACTAATTTTCGACACAGCACCCGCAGAAGTGTGACTTGGCGGCCACCAGCCTCGGGCCAGTCATGGACGCAAATCGATCATATCGCGATCAGTTACCGCTGGAGAGGCTGTGTCCAAAACTGTCGCTCGATTTGGAGCACGAGCGTGGACTCTGACCACGCACTTGTCTGTGCCGACCTCCTGATGCGCTTCGGTGGACGTCCGCAACGTCGATGTGAACGGATTGACACTAGCCAGCTGGCGAAGCCAGATGTTCTGAATGTGTACCAAGATGCGCTGACATCTGGGCTGAGTAAGCGCCCACTAAACACCGTTGAAGATCACTGGTCGCACACTCGTCAAGCGTTGCTATTAGCAGGCATGTCTTCATGTGGCAAAACAAATTGCCAAACCGGACATTGGGTCTCTACACAGTCTCTGGAACTTATAGATGCTCGCCGACGTATTCCGGCTGGAAGCGAATACAATGAATCTCGCAAAAATCTCAGGGCGAAACTACGTACTAGCCTAAAGAAGGACCGTGAAACCTGGTGGTCTCATCGTGCATCTGAGATGGAAACAGCCGCTGCCATTGGTAATCATCGTAAGTTATACCGTCTGATACGGGCAACAGGCAGCAGGAGACCTGGTGTTAGCGAGACCATACGCGACGAGAGTGGGCAGATGATCCACAGCCTGTCAAAACGCTTGGAGCGTTGGGCTGAACACTTTGCTATGCAATTTAACCAACCTGAGTTATCACTTTCTTCGGGCATTGAACGCCCTTCTCCTTGGGCCGTCTCCCTGGATCCGCCCTCACGCGCTGAAGTCGAACGTGAGATCAGGCTGTTGAAATTGCATAAGGCCGCAGGGGCAGATACTATTCCTCCAGCCCTCTTCAAGTTCGGTGGACCTGCTCTAATAGGTGATCTACACGAGTTGCTAGTAAAACTTTGGGAGCAGGAGACAGTCCCGACAGACTGGAACCGCTCCGTCATTGTCCCAATTTTCAAGGGAGGCTCCCGTTTGGTATGTGGTAATCATAGAGGGATCAGTCTGATTTCGATTGCCTCTAAATTGCTTGCCTCTCTCATTCTCCACAGACTGACTGGCACTCGTGAAAGCCAAATTCGTGAAGAGCAAGCCGGATTTCGTCGAGGTCGGGGCTGCATCGACCACATCTTCACATTGCGTCAAGTGTTGGAGCACCGCCATGTTTATTGGCGACCCACCGTTGTCGTGTTTCTTGACATAAAAGGTGCCTTCGACTCAGTCGATCGATGTGCCCTTTGGGACTGTCTGTTGAGGAAAGGTGTGCCTGATAAATATGTAAACATTATCAAAGCGCTGTACGCACATAGTTCGGGCAGGGTGAGGGTTTATGGCAAACTCTCGCCACCCTTCAGTATCACCAGCGGTGTGAGACAAGGATGCCCGCTGTCACCTTTCCTCTTCAACTTCGCTATTGATGAAGTCATGGAAACAGCGTTCGCTGGACACGACCTAGAAGGTGTGGAGCTACTCCCTGGTGAGCGACTTCTTGACTTGGAGTATGCGGACGATATTGCCCTAATCTGTGACGGCTCCCAAACATGCCAAACAGCACTGAACCGATTAGCACTGGCTGTCAGTCGTTTTGGGCTATGCTTTGCTCCATCAAAATGCAAAGTACTTCTCCAAGATTGGCAGGGACCCAATCCTGCGCTAACGCTTGGTGGTGATCTGCTAGAAGTCGTTCAGGAATTCAAGTACCTGGGCAGCTATATTAGCACCCGTGGGATTGAAGATGAGGTTACGAACCGTATAGCAAAAGCTCGAGGTGCTTTTGCCAATCTCCGCCACCTGTGGCGCAGACGCGACATTACTCTCGCCCTCAAGGGCAGAGTTTACAACGCAGCCGTCCGTTCAACTCTCCTATATGGCTGTGAAACCTGGCCCATCAGGTCGACAGACATGAAGAGACTCGTCACGTTCGATCATCGCTGCCTTCGCAGCTTAGCTCATGTCTGGTGGGAACACCGCGTGAGCAATGAGCGTGTTCGACGTCGCGTATTTGGTGCAGGAAGAGCGAGTGAAGCGCTCAACACGATTATATCACGCACCAGGCTCCGATGGCTGGGCCACGTCTTGCGCATGCCAGCACACCGACTCCCACGACGTGCATTGTTTGCGCGTTGTGGGTGCGGTTGGAAGAGGAGGAGGGGAGGCCAAGTGATGACTTGGTCGCGAGAAATGAAAACCCTCACTTCGAAGTTGGCGTCGGTTGGTGCATCCCGACTGCCTGGCTGGGGTCCTAAGGACGGTGAACACGTTTGGCTGGACACACTTGCTGATATGGCTAGGAGCCGTCCCCAATGGCGTTTGTGTTGTGAGTTCCTTTGTCCATCCCCCTCCTGTTTAGCATCCCCCTCCAATCACGATCTCAATCGTTAGGCATAATATGACTTTCTTTTACGGCAGCCAACTGTTAGCTCTCCGGAACGATGTCCATCCGTTACTGGGGACTCAGCGGGCGTGCCACTGTTTGTTTGTTTTTTTCTTTTCTTGCCTTTTGTATTGCGGCACAATAGCTGAGGTGTTTTCCACCTCCAGCTAACGTGTAATGATGATGATGATGATGATTCGTCATACTTCCTTTTGCTCTCATTCTCAGGCTCTGGGAATCGTTCCACTCACTGGTCCAGAGACATGTATTCTCCGACGAGTTTTTCTCTGAGACTTGTTTGCTTCTTACGGAAGGCCAGTCTCCCGCATTTCTCTTGTCGCATCATCAGCCGAAGCGCTGTTCCTGCTGGAACACAATGTTCCCATCTGGTCAGTTGCCCTGTGGTTGTGAAATCCCAATGCCACCTCGTCTGGATCAAATTTCACGCCTCCTCCGCCGCTCTGATGATGACACTGATACAGCCGCAGATCAACCGACGTTGTCTAAACAACAACAAGCGCGCCAATTGAAGTTGCATCGAGAACGGACAATCGGATCCTACGCTTTTTATTATTCCCAAGGTGGTCACTTGTTATGCGCTTGGCAAGAGCTTGCATGTGACCTGATCCGGTCTATCATCATTGCTCTATCAACTGGCCTACTTCTGGCATTGTCATCTCTTGAGAAAGTGCTCATGGATGCCCAAGCGCACTCGTCTGCATCACCTCGTTTGCAAGGGGGATGTCTAAGCACACATCTGCTACTCGCCGCATTGCTGAATCGGATTCGCAACGCTGCACGCCAAGAATCAATGACGAGTATACAACTGCTTCAACACCTTGTCCTGTGGGAATACCTGTGCGGCCTGATCGAGGCGTCGGACAGAGAAGAAGCGGACGATGGTGAGTAGTATCATCGGTGGTTTATTGTAGCGGTCAGCTGTTACAGCCGTCGTCGATTTTGTTGCATCGTGCTAGAGTTGATGAAGCTTCTTCTTCTTCTTAGTTATGTTAAATCAACTCAGTCTGATCACCTTTACTTTTAGTTGGTTGTGCTGATTCTCCGCCGTGCATTTCTTGTATCCATTCCGAGCAGTTCAGTTTAGTTAAACGACTACAATCCGGGTACCGAATTGCGATGGATCCAATTACCACGACTCACGTCACCTGAATGACATTAGATAAAAACGGTAATAAACTGACGTTGAATGCCAATGGAACATACAGCAAATGCAACCAATAAAGAACTGCATTAGACTAATCAGTATGGAATGAAGAATAGCAGTTAGATGTAGAGATGCCACTGACTGCGCCATGTCTGGTACGGTCTCCAACCATTGGTGTGGACTCTCCCGAGGCCCCCATCCACGAAGATGGCGCGCACCAGTTTGACCAGATCTCTCAGTCAATTTCTTCATGTGTCTATGCCGCGTCGTAGACAGGCCACCTCGCGGTTTCGTCCAACTTGGTGCAGCGACAGCTTGCAATGCACGCTGAGGAAGTCGATCAAGGGGCATACGGAAAACATGACTTATCCAACGTAAGCGATTAGGATTTAGCAAACACTCGAATGAGGCACCAGCAGGCTTCTTTTCAAAAACCAACTGGCGGACCTCAGCCTTGCTCAGCCTGTGTTCCCACCGTCGATCAAACACAGCAGTGTTTAATGTCTTCACCGTGAACTGGTCACCTCTCTGATCCATACAGTAAGACTGGCCTTACCGCAGCGTTGCACACCCTACCTTTCACTGACAGGCTGGAATCCCACCAACATCATAAATGGTTGAGTCGCTGAAATAGAACACGGGCTTTGCTGAAACGCTAATCAACCAAAAGCTCGGAGTAGTGTCCTCTAAGTCAGCAATATGCTTCGGTTTAGACAACCAGGTAGTACCACTCCCTCTGAAGAAATCATATATGCCTCTGTGTTCTGCTTCGGCTATTTCCCATAACTGCACTTCCCATTTTTTCGACAGATTCATTTCTCCGTAGAGCGCAGTACATATATATATATAACGAAGTATGCCAGCTTCAAACACATTCATTTCTTTCGATCTCTCAAGTCGCTTAGATTTGTTTGCATCTTTGAGTGATTACTCCAATAAACCGTACCAAGTGAATATGTGCGATCGACTGTCTTGAACCGACGAACTGAAGCCGGCCTTCAACACGTCAATGGCAAATGGCTACACTCGATTACTTATCGAGAAGCACAGTCAAAGGAGAGAATGCATAGGTTCTGTGACTAACGTTTCTATGAAAAACAAATTCTTGTCTCTGTCTTTTAAGTATGTAACATTTGTTGATGACCGCAGTGCATCTACTCAGAGCGCTTTCTGGGCCACCAAGGTCGTTATCATTGATGGAACCTGTAAGCTGTCGTTTCCTTCATGTGTATATAAATTTTTGTGATTGCGAAGCCGGTTACATAGGCCGAACCGATATAAATTTGAGGTACCGGATTGAGGAGCACATGCCAACGTGGGTGCAACACGAGACTGCGCTGCAGGCGTGACCATTTCAAACTGTGTACTCAGTAGGCCTCCAGTGTTCTCCATCGGTAGGCACTTATCTATATTAGGTCAGCACATTGAAATCGGCATTGCGTATAACATTCTGCGATGTCATTCCCAGAGGCTATCACGATAAGATCTTGGAAACTTAGTATTTAAAAGTAATGTTTGATAAGTCTTAAGTTGGCCTGGTACTGTATCTGTTGTCATTTCGTTTCTGCATATAAGGTTTTCACATCTTCTAGCAGTTATACATGATTGCAAGCAATGATGAGGCGAGACGATGCAATGAAGAATATACCGGATGCTGTGCAGTATTCGACGGTAGAGCGGCGCGTACTTGACATTTACTGTGTTCGCGCTTCCGTATACTCCTTTGGAGCTGACTAGTGCTGTTTTGAATTCCCATCAATACATATCCTTGCTCGATGTTTTTTTTGGTTTCAATTGCGATTCCACTGATTCCCCCAGTTAGATCAGTGTGTGTATCAGCTCACATGAGTAGATGCCAGACTGACTTTTTAAAACATACAACGGCTGCCATTGACAACGGAAACAGTGTGATAATCCTGTTCCTGCATATGCAAAAAGCCTTTGATAGAGTGCCTCACAGAAGGTTACTAAACAAACTGAAGGCTATAGGCATTGGAGAACCGATGTTCTTTCGGCTGTCTTCATATCTATTTGGTAGACAGCAGGTGGTGCGCATAGGCGACCATTTCTCTAAACCGAAAGCAATCACTACCGGAGTGATTCAAGGGAGTGTTCTTGGTCCTCTTCTTTTTCTAATTTATATTAACGATATATTCCAGAGAATAACAAATGGTGCTGCGTTTATCTTTGCTGATGACATTAAAGTTGTCTGCTCACAACCACGTGCAAATACTCAGGAAGCCGTACGTCTCATTCAAGATGACCTATCTTCCCTAGACTCCTGGTGCCAACTGTGGCAAATGTCATTTGCCGTGGACAAATGTAATGTTTTGTCGTACAAATACCAAGTACCGCCAGACAGTTTATTACTACAAGGCACATATATCTCGCAGTGTAGGGCAGTTCGCGACTTGGGCGTGCGATATTCAGTCACGTTTAACTTTTCTGAACGCTGTGACTTTCAAGTTTCAAAAGCCATAAAGACCATCGGCTTTATCTGCCATGATTTTATCTCACGGAATCTCGCATATCGCTTCACAAAACATATTTATTGTCGTGTATGGAATACTGTTCAATGGTACAGTCTAATCTGCGGAAATCTGACCAGCATGCTCTTGAAAGGGTCCAGAGACGCTTCACGGAAAAGCTATGTGAATATTCCTCAAAGTTGACATACAGGGAGCGATGTGATAAACTTGTATTTGACCCAGTTTGGCTTCGGATAATGAAGCTGAACATATGTTTTCTCTACAGAATCATAAATTGTCAAATTCACAGTCTTGATAACGGTGTTCACATATCTTTAAACAACGGATATCTAATCCGCAACAAAGAGATAAAGGTCATGATTCCAAAATTTACTACGAGAATCAGAGAACGTTTCTTTATATCGCAATACTCAAAGATTTGGAACAAACTTCCAAGTGATATCAGAACAAGCTATACACTTTATAATTTTAAGCTTGCGATTAGTAAGCATTTAACCGTCCAAAACGTGATTAGTATGTTCGGGACATCACAATCCCTAGATAACGCATTCGAAAACGGCATCCATGGTGCCTGAATAAATTTCCGAAACACATACGCATAATATTTCGGACAACAGCCCCTTTCATTACATTTTTTCTCGGCCCAAATATCTGCCATATGATTGTGAAGAATCCTGATTCAGTGGCAGGAAAAAGAATAGCAGAATCATTCTGATTACTCTGTGTCAACTAATTTGCAATTGCGCCCATGTTTATTTCTGAAAATGTATTAATGAAATGTCATGGAAAAGTTGTACCATTACTTGCTCTGTCCCTATTAGGGAACAGCTTCTCGCACCGTCGAGGAATATACTATTTATTTATTTATTTATGCTGATTCAGCCATATCCCCCATTCCACTGTGTCTCAAAGCAAGAAATATCGTCTCATGTTTTTTATGCCGGGCTACTTCATGCACACTACTTGTGCATGCCCAACATCTGGTGAACTTTTGTCTTTGAACAAATCACCAGGCTCGGTTACAATCGATGTTGCGAATGACAAAACAGTTACTCGTCCGATGTCATCTTTTCTCTCATTCTGGCTCCAGAAGACTGCTTATCCTTGATTAATGCGACGGGGTTCTGTAGTTTTCTTGACAAACATCTATGCTTCTCTGGCACACACATTTTCTCAGCTCTACATCAGCTAAGCTGATTCATAGGCATCGATGCGGCGCACGTCAAATACTGAGAAAATGCTCGTTTCTTCTAGCTTTGGCTCCCACAGTGCTGTTGGTGGCGAATTGGATTAGCGAATTCCTTCTAGGGCGGAAGTGGAGAGTACAGATGAATGACCATCTGACGAATTGGTATCTTTCCGCCAGTGGGGTACCCCCAAAGCACAGTACTGAGGCCCGTCTTGTTCCTGATCCGTATCAATGATCTAACTCAACTTCTTCGGTCACCTTGTGCCTTGTTTGCAGATTACCTGAAGATTTGGAGAGTAATTGATGTTCCCGACTACTGCGATTGTCCATAGAGTTTACAGATGTCAGTCTGCCGGTTAATCCAGTCAACTCTTTATTTCTGAGCCTGGGGAAGGGGTGTGATGAGCTTACGCACACATTGGCAGACCAACCGCTACATCCTACACCTTCTGTGAATGACCTAGGCGTGCTCTCACGCTGCGATTTGCAGTTCGTAAATAACGCGAACAGGCTAAATGAAAACTGACTGCTTATGCTTTTGATGCTCAAGCACAGCTTGTACACTTGATCTGAAGAGATTGCCACACCCCTTCTCTCCAGTCATAAGACCACTGCTCGAGTACGGTTCGCTAGCTTACTGTTTGATTACATGAGGTGAGGCACAGAAGATCGAACGGGTCTAACGCATTGCTAACAGGTTTACGAGATATGTCATACGAGAACCGATCCAGACGACTGGGACTGTACATGCTGTCCTATCGTCGCTTGCAACTCGACCACATCATGACCTACCACATTCTACATCTAATGAAGAGGCACACCGTGCAGCGGAACTACAGTGGCTTGTGTTGTCGAAGCGGTCGTGATGTTCTACTGTTTATACAAATTCGGCTGTGACTCTAGAGGACAATATATAGGACACACGGTCCGAGATCCAGGTGTCAATACTGGTGAATCCACATCTACGAACTCAGAGAAATTGAGCCGCATTATATCATAGTTAATTATTTAGACAAGTCGGCAGTTTCCTTGTCCCGCGGGAGTAAGAAGTTCTCATTTCTAGCCCCGCACGGAGTGGAACGGGTACGCGCTGGTGATATTAGCATTACACCAGTACCTTGTACAATTACATCGGCGAGTGGCCGGAACGGCTACACGCTTGCCTTGCAATCCGGCGGTCACTGGTTCGGATCCGCGTGGGTGATGTCAGGCTCACGATATGCAGCCCGCGCGCGACTGGTGGTGGTCGCGTGGCAGCGAAGCGTCGCTATGGCATGCTACTGATACCTTTTCTTGCCTGTGCTGCAACGCACACTGTTGACGCGTCCCGATGGGATAAAATGTTCGTCCGACACTTTTCCTGATGTAACTGCTTGTCTGGTAACGATACTGATTGGGATGTGCTCCACTCATTGACACCAATCGCAACTGGTCGCATAATCAGATGGCGATAGTGAAGCCAGGCTGCCTGAATCATCATGAGAATTCCGTTGAGTGGAAGTCACCAGGTCAGCCCCGATACATTATTTGTCGCCCTTGTGCGCAGTTATGTCTTACATTCTTAAACTACTTGTGGCCATTGTTATCAATCAATAGTGACCTCCGCTCTGCGCGCAATGACAGCCGATAGTGACATTGGACCTGCGATTAGTCACCAATCGGTATCACACCATCTTATCTCTCTTGAAATGTTATTGGTTACATGTCTGCTATTGATGCAAACCCACGATATAACTGCGTCGTCGCACTACATACCTCTTCTGAAGTCATACAAATGATTTCTTGTTCCAACTTTTCAGAAGTCGCCGATTGCAAAAAACGCATGTTGTCATATCTGGAAGACTTACCCAACTCTTTGAAGTAAGCACTGACTCTTAGACCCTGTTCACAATTTCTCACCTGTCACTGACCTCTAATTTCTATCTTAATTCGGCTTCTTCTCTTTCATAACCGAATATTGTCATGTTCCTAGGTACCCACAGTCATCTGTCATTTGTTCTCTTTCTGTATGTTTGAAAAGTAATCCTTTGTCGTCATGCCGATGATAATGGCTACGCGTTTCATACAGCGGAAAGGCATACTTCTACCCACCGGAAACTATATCATCCTGGTGACACCTTGTCACCATCTGGTTGTCGATATATACCTTTCTCAAGCGATTACATCCATAACGCTGTCAAATTCCTCCTTAAGGAAATCATGTTCCCCCATGAATCTCTCACCATGGTCCTTAGCGCTATCGATTTGCATCAGACGGTAGCAAACACACCCAAAAGTGCGTATCGTTTGTGGATTAGCCAGTCCCAAATGTGCCGATAGTGTGACAGATGAGTGCACCACGTGGAATACAATTGCCTGATATCGCATTAGTCACACAATGGACAGTAGGGTCGTTTGCGTTCGTTGGATGCAACTTGATAGCCATCTTGGGTGCTCTGTGAAGGATCATGATTTCTTTACGGAGGAATTCGAAAGCGTTATGGATGCAGTAGACTGAGAAAATGTATACTTAGCCTGCCCACTCATGGCTGGTCTGTTCACTGTGCTCAATCGCGTGTGTGTGTGTGTGTATATGTGGGATGTGCCTCCAGCTTGACTGTTATCCTCAGATATGGAAGAGCTAAATTGCATCGAGAGAAATTCGTGAGGCATTGGTTTTGTTGTCATTCTCCCCTGATTGTTCCTATGCATCATCTTTGGGTGGCTCACTGATTCAGGTTACAGGCGAACAAGTGTGTTAGGTTACTCATTGACTGTATGATAGAATTCATCCGGTCTGGGCACAACGCTACGCGTCCCAATGATCCGCCATTCTCATCTTCATTGGCTTAGAGTTCCCCTTTATTTCAATTGGTCCTGGCTCTGTGACTCTGTCTGCCTTAGCAATAAAGCGGAATACCTGTAGATCGGGTTATCTGTTCAGGTTTAGGTATGTTCTCCGAGCCGAACTATTTCGTTGCAGACGTTTCATCACCAATCGAGGTGACTTCGTCAGTGCGTACTAAGTAAAAATTGACCGATGAGAGAGTGATGTTTGAACTTGGCCACTTCGATTCACGTCCCGTGACCATTGCTAGTTTGCGGTTTAATCACCTCTTTTAGACTCATGTAGTGAATGACTTACCTAAAGTTCTTTTCATCGCAGTTGATGGTAGATCGAGTCTAAGTCAATGCGCATGAAAGACGCGCATACAGATCAAATCCCAAATTTCAACAGCAACCATCCAAAATGTCACATAATCAGCTGTCTACGAACCTTGTTTCACAGAATAGAATCACATTATAATACTGCGGAAACAAAACGAGAAGAAGAAAACCATCTGTTTACATTCTTCATGCGCAATGGATATCCACGCAATTTCATCCGAAGATACATAACCTGCAAGATTACAATTGCCACACCTGAACCAACAACAACGAAACGGATCGCTTTGTCCAACATCAAGAACGTATCGGAAATGGTTGCCCGACTCTTCAAGTCTTACCACCGGTTGTTAGCTCACATACCAACCGCTACTCTGAAAGCAACGCTATCTAGACCGAAGGGGAAGCCGGAAGCACATGAATGTCGGAATGTTGTTTACAGGATACAGTGATAAATACTATGTGGGCCAAACAGGGAGAAAGTTATCTACAAGATTACAAGAACACAAGCGAACCTATGGAAACCATTATTCATCATCATTGGGCTCGACGCATGTTGACAAAGAATGGCACTTGTTTGATTGGGAGAAGACGATTGAAACATCAAAGTATGGGATGACCTTTGCTCCTACGAAATGCTAAGTTTTGCTCCCCGATTGGCATTCACTTGCTCCAGTGCTCACTTCAAGGTACGCAGCTTGAACAAGTGGACAACTTTGTTTACCTGCGAAGCTGCATCTCTGCTGATGGTAGTAGCATTGGAAAAGAGATTTCCCTCCGCATTGCCAAAGCCCGTTCGTCATTCGCCGACTTGAGGCATCTGTGGCGATGCTGCGACATTTCACTATTGGGAATGGGCAGGGTCTACAATGCCTGTGTTCGCGCGGTGCTGCTGTATGGGAGTGACTTTTGGCCGATTCGTGTGAAAAACTTAGGTCAATCTGGCCCCTTAGATCAGCGGACATAAAGAAGCTAGTTACGTTCAACCACCTGTGCCTTCGCAATTTAACTCACATCTGGTGGGAACACCGAGTACGAAGCCAGCGTCTTCGACGTCTTGTTTACGGCACATGGAAAGGAAATGAACCGCTCAGCACCGTCATTTCACGCACCAGACTCCAGTGGCTCGGCCACGTGTTACGCATGCCAGCCCACCGACTCCCGCGACGTGCGTTGTTTGCGCGCCGGGGGTGTGGATGGAAGAAGAGGAGGGGCGGCCAAGCGATGACTTGGTCGAGAGGAATGAAGGCCCTCACTTCTGAGCTGGTCTCGATTGGAGCGTCTCGGCTCCCTGGTTGGGGTCCGAAAGACGATGAACACATTTGGTTGGACACACTTGCTGACATGGCAAGCAGTCGACCACAGTGGCGTTCGTGCTGTGAGTTTCTTTGTCCCACCCCATCCCTCTTAGCCTCCCCTCCAACCACCATCGCACTATTTAGCCTTTTATAATTTTAACTAGTAAATTATTTTTTTCTGCTGCATAGTTGTAGCCGGCAGGTACCTTACCGGAACGATGCCCATCCGTTACCGGTATCTCAGCTGGCTTGCACTTTCTGTTGCATTTTATTCCCTTTTTTCTTTTAGGTATTGCGGCACAGTAGCTGAGGTTTTTTATACCTCTAGCTAATGTGTATAATGATGATAATGACGACTTGCGTCGGAGTTCGGGCTTTGACAGTGGATGTCTGCGGAGAATAGCTCGAGTGTGGTGGATGAACCACGTGCGCAACGATGATGTTAGACGTCGCGGCTTGGGTAACACGGGACTTCCACTTGACAGACTGGTACCACTGCGCCAACTGAGGTGGCTAGGCCGTTTTACGCATGTCATGCGAACGGCTGCCCCGACACGCTCTATCCGCTCGCATAGGACTGGGCTGGAAGAAATCGCGCAGGGGTCAGTCTATCACGTGACGACAAACGGTTAAAGCGCTGATTTCCAGTTTGGCTGTCGTAGGTCCTGTGCGTCTTCTGTTCTGGGGGATCAAAGCTGAAGAACAACGCTGGCTGGAAACTGTTTCGGAGATGACACAGAACCGGGCTTAATGGAAAATGTGTTCAAATGTTTGTATTGCTTTGTTTGATTTACATCGCAATCATTAAACAGACCTAAGAAGCTAAAACGACGTGTGAAAAAGAAACTGAAGCCAAGCTGCAAAAATACCATTTTTGCAACTTTCATTCTTTTCGTTATGGTCTTTGTATTTATTACTTCCGTTTCATGGTTTTCGCTGCCTTTATGTCTATTTTAAAGACTGTTGATAATAATAATAATAATACTTATTATTATAAGACGGAGTTCCTAGCGCAAGGAAAGACAAGAAGAGGAATAGAATTTCTCGAAGCGGGGTTTTCTACAGAGAACCCGATAAACCTACGCATTGACTTAAACCCGACCTACCATCAACTGCACAAAAAAGAACTTAATGTGGGTCATTCACCACATGAGTCTAAAAGAGACGGTGATCGAACTGCAAACTAGCAATGGTCACGGGACTTGAATCGAAGTGGTCAAGTTCAAACATCGCTCTCTCATCGGTCAAAGTTTGCTTAGTACGCACTGACGAAGTCACCTCGATTGGTGATGAAACGTCTGCAACGAAACAGTTCGGCTCGAAGAGCAAACCTGAACTGTCTGCCTTTTTAGGATTGATGAGAATTTTCTTTCTAGTCTTCACTACCTATTTTGTGACCCCGGTCTCGCATACGTTTCCACGTGAAACTGCCTCGTAGGCTCTTCGCAACATGCGACGTGCATTAATGCAGCTCCCTTTCTTTCTTCTTCCTCAGATTTGCGATCAAAATATTCTAGTGTGACGTTGTCCTCTTTTTTATTCCTTCTAGTGTAAAGACTCTGTCTCGTAACTAATATTCCTATTAAGAGTGTTCACCGACAATATCTTTCTGAGCCATGTTTTGTTGCTATTCGAACGTCTCTGGATTGACTAACACAAAGAACCGCATACTTCTGCATACGCTCTCTATACATTCGTAGCCTACAGCACTTCAGTAGAACTACCTATTCTCACTATCGCTGAGACGCCACTTCTCTCTGTGGTTGGATCACCTTTGTCCATCATATCATCCCACCAACTCTTCCGCGCTGGTTTTCAAGTTTCAACCGTCTCTGCTGGCGGCACGCGGCATCAGCTTGTGCATTCGCGGTGTACCTATTGTTACTATGTATCAGAGTCGTGTTGCGCTGCGTCAGTTTTGTGTTTGGCAACACACCCACTAGTTGTGCATCGCTGGACCTTTTTTGCTCCTGTGTCGTCTACCCTTCTTTGGTCATGCCCTTCGGAAATCTGTCCATTGTTTACATGGGCTTGCATTGTCCGCCTTTGTTGCGTATGATCGAATGAATTTCTAATTGGCCAGTTTGGAAGAGGCATTGCGATTGCTGACCAACGTAGACGATTCTGCCGCATATTTGGATGACATCATTGTCGTCGGAGTAAATGCAGATGATCTCTTCAAAAAGCTTCACCTGATACTTGATCGTATACCAGAGTATGAATTCAGGCTGCACCCCGAGAAATGCGCAATCTTCATGGACTCAATTACTTTCCTAAGTTTCATGATTGACAAAGATGGCGGACGCCCGGATCCAGCAAATATCGAAGCTATTAAGAAGATGTCCCTGCGCTGAGGTCATTTTTAGGACTCCTCAGTCACTACTGTCAATTTCTTCCTCACATACACAGGGTACGTGG